CACCCCGTCTACAGACCTTCTAGCCTGTTGTGATTAGCTCTTTCTTTTTTCTATTAAATCTTCCCAGCCAGATGCCCCTTTTTATAAGGCCCTGTGCATTCCATAGGGAGTTACAAATGACTGGAAACTAATTTTCACGCTGCCCGTTGGAGACAATAACACATAAATGATTCAAATGGAGGAACTCCAGGTAGTGGAGATGAGGCATTGGGGTAGTTGTTTGGGGATAGAGTGAGGACTTCCCACATACCCCTCAAAAAATAACATGGAATTTATACCAACAGCTACTTTCAACTCCTCTTAATGCCTCTACAAGCAATTGACTCTGCACAGTGAGCTAATGAATGATTTACGATTCACGCTCAGCTCTACACTGTAACCCCAAAGTGTGCTGAGAAAGAATAGCTAAAACACATGCTGGGACTCTGATCTGAGAGCAGATCAACAAATTCTGGCCACTAGACTAGGTTTTCTGTTGAATGAGAAGCAGCATAGCCTAGAAAGATCGGAGTTGCTATATGTGGAAATATTCCAAGAATGTAGTAAAAAACGAAAGTGAAAGGAGGGCAAAGGGGTCTGAAATCACTGAAGCATTTTGCATAAATGAGCTGGATTGTAACACCCACAGCGAGAGAGCTGTGTCTTATTCCTGGCCATAGTCTGAGCTATATAGACAGCACTGCTCAATAAATATTAGTAGATTAATTGTTTCTTTTTTCTTCCTTTTTCTTGATATTACTAATGAAAGAGTAGGTTGACACTGCATTGTTCATTAGGGTGCCATTTGCAAATCTTCTTGAGAACTCTAATGTAGCAGCATAAATTGCATAAAGGACATAGGCTCCCCAGAGGAATGATAAGAGGAAGTTGGTGTTCATAATTGGACCACCAAACCGGGAAGTTAGTTAGTCACAAAAGCATGATAATACATGTACTACAATACAGCTGCCATTGGGGAAGCATTTGTTCATTCATTCCTATCCAACACATATTGTTAAGTGCATGCTATATGCTTTGTACTGTGTTAGACACAGCAATTTAAGCAAAGTATCTGCTCTTATGGAATAAATAAGCAAATGAACAAATAAATGAGTTTTCCAAGGAGCACTGCTATGATGGGAACAAACTGGGTGCCCATGGAGAGACCAGTCAGAATTAATGGAAATATTACACAGGTAAAGTGGTCAAGAAAGGTCTTTCTAAAGAGGTGACACATAAGCTGAGACCTGAAATTAGAAGGGTCAGTCCAGGAAAGTTCAGGAAAGCCATTTCCAGGTAAAGGAAACCGTAGGCACAAAACCTTTAAGAAAGGGTGGGCATGTTAGAGAATGGAAAGATGGCTATGTGGGCAATGCCCATGAGTGAGGGGACAGCCGGGCAGGATGAGGTCAGCAGGTCCCCAGGTGAGTCTTTACCAGAGATGCAATAGGAAATATGCATTGGTGTTTCCAAAAGTTTTTTCCAATATGGAGAATGTGTTTGACAACACCCATAGAGAATGTTGGAAGACCAATTGGAGGGATACTGCAATAGTCTTAGCAAATGGTGAGAGTGATGCGGAGATGGAGTGTGTCTAGGAAGTAAGGACAGAGGGTGACCCACCATGACGCCCAGGCTTCTGGCCTGAGCAACTCAATAGGAAGTGGCCCTATTTACTGAGATGGGGGAACTGGAGAATGAGGTAGTTGGAGGGAACTTCAAAGTTTAGTTTCAGACACGGTAAGCCTAACAAGCAGACAACTAAATATACAAGACCAAAGTTCCAAGGTGTGGTTTGCCTTGAAGATGCAAATTGGGAAGTTGCCAGCTTCCAGAGGGTATGTGAAGCCAGGAGAATAGATGAGAGCTCAGGGAAAGAGGGAAGCGCCCATAGCAATTCTTCTCGAGGCACTTAAGTTAGAACTTGGGCAATCATGGCAGCAAAGGCAGTGGAGACTGAGCGGGCAAGTGTAAAAGAAAACTCTGGGGGTAGAGGGTAGCATCCAAAGAGGCCAAGAGAAGAGGATGTTGAGGAGGGGTCATTTATGATGCTAAATATTGCACGAACATTAAGTAAAGCCAACTGAGGAAGGTATCTAACAGATTTGGCACATGGAGGTCAGTGGTGACCTGGATTCAAGGAGATCGAGTGAGAGCAATTGCAGAAAATCAACTGGAGTAGGCTGATGTGTGAATGGAAAGTGAGAAATTAGAAGCAGCCTGTGAATTTATTCTTTACAAAAGTTTGGCATCAGAGTAGAGGAAAAGAATGGAGCAGTCGCTGCAGAGAGCAAGTGGGACCAACAGAGGGAGTTTTCTACATGCGAGTGGCCAATACTTGCTTGGGGGAAGGCTGGGAGGAGGGTCAAGACCAAGTTGGTGATGGTCTCACTGACCACTTCCCCAGCTCAGCTCCTGAAGACCAGGATGCATGTTGCAAGGGAGTGTGAGCTGCAGAGGTAACAGAGCTGAGACATCTGTGGGGCAGCAGGGTAGTGGTTTATGAAGAAGATACTGTCTGGGTCCAAATGAGAGCTGCAGCACTGGAGTCCCCGTTGTGCTGGGCACAGGGATTGGATGGAGACATATAGTCAAGTGCAGAAGTAAATTCAAGTGGGAAAAGCAGAGGACAGGAAAGAACTCAAGTGTGTTGACAGTTTTCCAGAGTGGACAGGAATGAGGCAGAACGTGGTGGCATCAAAACCCACTGGGGCTGGGAGTGGTGACTGGCCTGAAACAATGAAACTACTTCATCAATTTATGAGCAGGTTTCCCTTGATACTGAAGCAGAGGCCAGGGGACCACGTTTGACCTCATATGGTGTTGTTACGTGGCCACTGCTTTCTCACTTTCAGTATGGGGACATCCAGCCTTCAGAGGGACTTTGGAACACCTAAAACAAGGCAAGCACACTGAGTGGGGTCTTGAACTGGACAATGTCCAATTTCTCAGAAGGCCAAGGGTGTATCAGAAAACCAGAGTTATGGAGCCGAGCACAGATGCTCATATTGAGGCTACCGGGAGACTCGGGGCAGAGGAGGGGCCCATCACTGCCAGAAGTTTCATCTGCACCTGTGTGTGCCAGTCTGTCTGGAGGTGGACACCCATAGGCAGGGGGACTGGGGGGAGCCCCATTCCTGGTTACAAATAAACCACCACACCTGGCCTTGAGTGCCATAAGGAGATCAGACAAGACGCACTTCCCTGAAGCATCCCCACCTCCACCTGCCTTCCCCGCAATGATGCTTCCAAAGCCTCCAAGTTGCACAGTCTGAAATCTCAAGCTGAGCAGCAAATACCAATAGATGCTCTTTTATTGAGAATCTACAATGTGCCAGATGACATTCTAAGCGTTTTTTTTTTTTTTCCACTTTTTTACTCATTTAATTCTCACAACTGTTTGGGGGAGGTGCTATTAGTATTCCCATATCAGAAATGGGAAAACTGAGGCACAGAGATTTTGTGAGTGGGATTGTGGTGACATGGGTTGTGGGGCGCGGTGTTAACGCCATTGCAAGATGGCGCCGGCTTCCTGGTCACGCCAATACTACAGGACTGATAAACAGGGTGAATTGCGCAGGTGTAGGGGCTTTTCCTGTCTCATTAAGTATGCATATGAAGGATCTTGGCTTGGCCTATCAGTAATAACCCTCGCGCGCTTTCAACCTATCCCCATCACTTCCCTCCTTCCTTAGAGTATATAAGTGTGTGAGAGCTTGTGCTCAGGGTCTTCCGCATCATGTAAGTCTAAAGGGAACCCCATTAAAGCACGGTCAGAAGAACTCCTGTTGCCGCGTCTTCCTTGCTGGCGAGGCGGGCGCGACAATGGGTGGTAAGAGGCAGAGGCAGGGCATGAACCCACCGGGCTGCATGAGAGCCTGAGCTCTTTCCCATGGCAAGTGATGTGCCTGCAGCTATATCATTCCAGAAAAGCCTCCATTAGCAACTTCTCACCTGTCCTCAGGATGCTCCTTAGACTAACCCTAGAAAGTTAGCAGGACACGGCCTGCATCTGGAACATGTAATTGTTGGCCAGGCACACCCTGAAAGCCTGGAATTCCCATCTCAGAATAGTCCCCCAGCCTCCTTGAGACAGAGAGGGGCTTCCCAAAGCTGTCAGAGCTGCTCTAGGACATCTGCACCCCCTTGACCCCTCTGTTCCCAGGGTTGCCAATCATGATGACAAAGCCCTTCTGGCTTGGTTCTCAGGCAGTAATTCAATTGGAAACATAGATGTTTATTAATCTAACTTCAAATCGGTCCAGATAACCCTACAATATGTAGCCCCAATGTAAGCTGGGCTTGGTCTAGACAGAGTACGATCTCATGCTCTAAACTTACATGTAGTAAAATTCACCATTTTTGGGGTGTAGTTCTGATTTTGAACAAATGCATCGGTCCTATAACCATCACCACAATTACAGATCTAGAACATTTCTGCTGTGCCTTTGTTACCAATCCCTCCTCCAAGCCTAACCCCTGGCCAGTGTTGATCTGTCTTTTGTCTCTACAATTTTGCCTTTTTCAGAATGCCGTATGCATGGACTCACAGGTGTTCAGCCTGTTGACTCTGGCTTGTCTCATTTGGCAAAGTGCATTTGCATTTCATCCATGTCACTGCATGTATCAGTAGTTCTTTCATTTTTATTATGGAGTAGTATTCAGTGGTGTGGATATATCACAGTTTATCCATCCACCAGCTGAGGAACAATGGTTGTTTTCCCATTTGAGACATTTATAAATAGAACAACTCTAGACCTTCATGTATAAATTTTTGTGTAAACATAGGTTTTTATTTCTCTTGGGTAAATAAGTAGGGTATTTGCTGCATCATGTGATAAATATGTGTTTAACTTTATAAGAAACTGCCAAACTGTTTTCCAGAATGGATGTACCATTTTCCAATCACACCAGCAAGATATGAAAGCTTAAGTTCTCTCTATCCTCAATAACATTTGGTATTGTTAGGTTTTTGTACTTATGTGTTTTTAATTTTACCTATTTTTTTTTTTTAATTTCAGAGTCTTATGGGGTATAAATGGTTTGGTTACATAAATTGCCTTTGTACCACCCAAGTCAGAGCTACAAGCATGCCCATCTCCAGACAGGGCAAACCACATTGCTAGGTATGAATTTACTCACCCCCTCCTCCCCACTCCCAACTGCCTGATGCCCTATGAATGCTGCATCCCATATGTGCACATTAGTGTTGATTGATTAGTACCAATTTAATGGTGAGCACATGTGGTGTTTATTTTTCCATTCGTGTGATACTTCACTTAAAGAATGAGCTCTAGCTCTATCCAGCATAATATAAGAGGTGCTAGATCACCATTGTTTTTTATGGCCGAGTAGTACTCCATGGTATACATATACCACATTTTATTAATCCACTCATGTACTGATGGGCACTTGGGTTGTCCCCACATCTTTGCAATTGTGAATTGCACTGCTATAAACATTCTGTAGCAGTATCTCATTGGGGTTACAGTTTGAATTTCCTTAATGATTTAAAGACACTGAGCACCTCTTCCAGTGCTTCTTTGTCATCTGTACATCATATTTGGTGATGCATCTATTTGAATCTTTTGCCCACTTTTTACGTTCGGTTGTTTTTTCATTATTGAGTTTTGAGAATTCCTTATATATTTTGGATAAGGATCTTCAACCAGAAATGTATTTTGTAAATACTTTCTCAACAGATATTTATTTTAATACAATTTTTCCTCTTCTCTCCATTCAGAATACCAGTCTCACTTGTCAACATTAGCCTGGCAGGGTTATAAACACACAAAGGACACTTTTGTCTTCATTTTCTAGAAGAGAAGAACTAAGACACAGATATGCTTTCACAAGCCTGCTGCTTCCACTGCCGTAGAGGACTAGAGCCAAATATAGGACTTGTTGACTGAGAAGGAAGTCTCAGAATGTTTTTGAAAGTATCACGTAAAGGGATACCATCCAGGTAAGTGGAATCCAGCAAACTGGAGTCATCAGCTGACTTCAAGGAAAAGGAAACATTATTCGTCAAGTAACTCCAGTGTGCCTGATTCAGGTCAGGACCAACAAACCATAGCCTGAGGGTAAGTAAATGCTTTACCTGATTTTCTACAGCCTGTGAACTACGAAAGTTTTTTGCAGATGAACATTTGCAATTGATTTGATGATGCAGGAAAATTAACTTTTAACCCAAATTAAGGGACATGCAATCCCCCCCCCCAAAAAGAGTCCCATTTTCTTATTATAGACATGCTATTAAGAAAAAAAGGTACTCAATTATTATTATTATTTTAGTATGTTATATGTTATAATAATTGTTGTCTCGAATTTTTTGAACACACACATTTGTTTCCTCTCTTGTATAAGTACCCACATAATACTGTTGATTTTGCCTCTTGGTCTACAGAGCCTAAAATATTTACTATGTGGTTCATTATAGAAAATGTTTACCTTACAATTGCAACAACTTACGTTACAGATGAGAAAAGTGAGGGTCTTCGCAAAAGATAAGTAAGTTGTTGAAAGTTACCTGGCTATTGACAATGGTGCAGAGATTGTGGGGATTTCCAAAAGCAAATTCATAGCAGCAATCTGGGAGGAAATGGAAAAGAACAAAAACCAATTATGGTGGGTGGCATGGGGTTCCTGGCTCAGAACACACCTTCCCTGGGTTCCTGAACTTGTTTTTGGCCAATCGAGCGCCTGGACGTCTGGACCCAGGAACACATCAGAATGACCTCAGGATCCCGTGGGATTCTCAAACAACCCTGGGGACATCCTATTCTCCTCTCTCCACTCCACTGGCTAAAGTATTTACAAAAAAATTTTAAAGCTTTTCAATAGCAAGGTTTTATGTTAAAGCATGTTAGGTAAAGCCTAGTGAAGCTGTTAAGCACGTGAGCCTTGTGGCAAGAACACCTGCTTCAACGCTCAGCTCCACTCTTCCTAGCTGTGTGACCTTGGGCCAGGGAACTCGATGGGGGCACCTCAATTTGCTCATTTTTTAAATAAGACATAACAGAACCTATTCATAAGTCTTCTGTGAGCTGCAAGGGAGTTAATATTTGCAACATGATCAGTGCAGTACCTGGCATAGCACGAGCACTTTATCAGCATATATTAAATAATAAAATAAATGCTCAATTAATCAGAAAATTAAATCTCTACATCCAAAAAACACATCTCTTCACTTTCTAGTTAATCAGAATTGTCCTGTGTTAAATGCTTCCCAAAAGACAGAGTCAAAGAAGAGAAACTTGAAAGCAATAGCACTGTCTCAACTTCCCTGACGTGATCATTCTCTGGCAGGGGGCAGAGAAGCATGAGGAGCATGTATTCTTTCTGCCACCTTCAGCCTAGGGATGTACTGCCCAACTCTCTGATCTAGAAAAATGACCTGGGGTCTCAGCAGATCACAATTATTTATGGTATCATTAATCCAGAAAAATGCAGCCCATTGGTGACATCTTGCCCTTTAACATCGGGAGAATATGTTTGTTTCCATGTTTCCACTCTCGGGTTTCAGAAAGCCATACTCAAGTGTACTCCTGCCTATACCTTAATTAAGATTCTTCACCACTCCCCCTCCCCCCCCCCGACACAACACACACACAAATGGTGCTCAGTGCTGCTAAGGGTGTGAGACAGACACTCTCATACCCTGTCAGTTAGGAAAAGCAATTGCGATATTTCCATCAAGAGCCTTAAACATAATCTTAGCCAGAAATTCCACTTCCAAGAATATCCCTCAAAGACATCAAGACAAAAAGGATGTGCCTGGTGGGGTGGTGGGTGGGAGTTGTAGAATTTGAAAGGGAAGAACTTAGTCTGACTCACTCTGGGAGTTGCCTGGGAGGTGTGTGGGCATCTGAAACCAGAGGGCAGTGGGTGGTGCGTGTCTGGGGGTCCTTTTGTGAGCACACCTGCCACCAGTGCGTGCCCATGCTGTAGAGCCACCTGCCACAGAACACCACAGCACCTACCAGTCCCAGCGCGGTTCACCCACGTGTCACAAGCTTTGTCTACCCGACTCAGAGTCGATCTGGGAGCCAGACCCGACTCTACCCTGGCTAGTAGGACAATTCCTGGGCTTTTGTGGGTTAACTTCATGGAAATGAGTCTGGCCAAAGGACAGAGGACACGCTAGGACACACTCTGCGTCCTGTAGGGGACTGGCCTGGCTCAGTCAGGCCTGAGGCTCGGCTGTGCCTTCTGCTCTAGCCTTTTCCTCAGCTCAGTCGGTCTTGGGGACCTACTATGTGAGAAAGTGTCTTGAAAGTAAAATTTGTATACAAATATGAGGGATTATTATCTACATCCACAAGATTTCAGAGTCTTTTAATCTTCTTAGGTTAGATTCTCAGATGCCCTAGGGTGTCTTGAATTTTTTTTTTTATCATAACTCAAGGTAATTAATCTCCAATTACCTGGATAATGAATCAGCAAATAACTGGAATGCTACACTTCTAAGGGAAACTTTCAGAATCAAGTAGGGGACCCCAGATCAATATTGTTAATATTGAGAGGTGCAGGGCGGAGGGTGGGTTAAGACACTCACACATTTAACATAGAAGAGGAACTTGCATTGAGTCAATGAGAGACGGCAGAGCTGGGATTTGAACCCAGGGCGTCTGACCATGAGCCAGAGTGCTTTCCCCAAACTGCAACTGGTCTTTCAGCAGGGCTCAGCATTTCCGTGTGCTGTCAGGCCTCTACTGCACAAATGTTCCAACTCACATTGAGGACATCTAATCTGTTCTGTGATTTCTGGAGCCACTTGGGAAATGGAAGAGGAATTACCCAGATGCGTCATTCCATGTCAGCAGGTGAACTGTAACGGAGCTTTCATTACTATTTCATTATTTATGTATTTGTTGAGAAACAACAAAACAGAAACAGAAAACAATGGCAATAACTGCAGCATCGCCCCTTGATGGCTGGTTCCTCACGTTGGTGTTTGTGAGGGACGTGTGGGTGCATGGGTCTCACACTCTCACACAGCTACCCTTTCTTTGTGAGATTTGGGGCTGGGGATAGTTTGTGCAGAATTATATTTCAGGAATCTAGTGGCTGCATTTTGGGGGGTGCACACGAGAGAGAGTAAAGACACTGTGTGCATGATTGACAGTGTGCCCCTGCAATGACTCTTCGATAACCACTGAAACCCTGGATTTACCTATCTTATCTTTTTTACTCTCTTTTAACTAGAAAAGGAAATGTACAGTGACCTAGGACTCTTTTTAGTCCTCGGTTCCATTCGCCACAGGTGCCCAGTGTCCATGCTGTCCTTCAGTAGTTTGCACTCTATCTTTACCAGAGACCTCCAAAGCCCTCTCCTCTCCTTCTTCCAAGGCTGAGGAGGACATTGGATTCCTTCTGCACTTGGTTGTTGATGAAACTCATGAGGGTCTCCCAAAGAATCATTCCGAAGCCTGTGCCACGCACGGCCTGGGAGAACTCAAAGGCTCTCAAACCCAGGGAGTGCAAATCTCTTCCAACATGGTAAGATCTTGACTTTTCAAATGTAAACTCTGAACTCAGTCTTGATCCCATGCAAGAAAATGCAATGGTTCTTAGCTTGGGCTGGCCCCCACAGCCCCTTCTCTGGGGGTAGTAGGACAATTCCTGGGCTTTTTTGGGTTAACTTCATGGAAATGGGTCTGGCCAAAGGGCAGAAGTCATCCCCCAAAGAGAGGCCTTTCATAAGGGATCTAGAATTGTACTCTAAAAGGGTCATCTGGGTCCCTTCTTCAGCAGCTTTGTGTCTAATTCTGAGCTGGGGTTTGTAGAGGGAGTCTGTGCACTTTTATTGACATGCAGACCAGAGGTTCCACGTGGTCACACCAAGGAGTCTAAGACATGGTCCCTGACCTGCAGAGTCAAAAATCTACCTGGGAAGGTAGATTTATCTACCTTCTAAAGTAAAGTCCAATAACAGTAATAAGGTAAGAAGTGCTTTATGAGATTACTCTGGAGCAGTACTTAGCACTTTCCAGAGTATAGGGGCCTGTTAAGGTCTGTGTCTTTGTGGCTTACGCTGCAGTGTCAGTTACTGCCACACATGGGGTACAGTAGCTACTGAAGGAATGCTTATTTAAGGAAAGAATGAATGAACCTAGGTACCCACACCTCAGACATACTGATCCCATTAAAATTCAGCTAACATATGTTGAGAACTCACTACAAGTACTATATTTTTGCGTTTTCATGAATGCTAATCAATTGGAGGCGAGTATTTCGTGGAGGAAAAAACTCAAACTCAGTGACTGCCCAAAGCACACATATGGTAGCACGTGTGTGACTGGAGGGGGGATTTGAACCCAGGTCTCTGGTTTGGGGCTCCTTCCAGCACATTGCTCTGCCCTTCCTTCAATTTCACATGTAGGAATTTATTTGCCTTTATCTCTTTTGTGTTGCTTTTTCCTCTCCCTCTTTCTTTTCCTTGGGGGACAGCCCTCTCCTGAAACTGTGGGTTCCATTTTCAATTTCCTGTACCATCCAGAAGGCCACTGCCCCTTAGCTGCAGATTCTAAATAGAGGTGCCAAGTCCAATGCCACGTGATGGTGAGGGCCAGCTCCATTGCTTTCCCTTCACCAAAACGCATTAATAAAGTTAATTAGTATTGACCTGAAAAAAAATCCAAACAATAACCTCCTGGCATTAGGATCAAATGCAATGAAGCACAAACAATAAAAACTCCATTACTGCTCCCCTCCCAGGGACAGATCCTTGGGGCTGAGGGCGAGGGGAGGCTCACAGCTCCCGGGAACTCTCCCTGTCTGCTTCATGCCTCACTCTGGAGCCCTGAAGCTGAGCTGGGCTGGGCCCCGCGTGGGATTACGTTTGGTTAAATGCTAGACTCCCAGATGCCCAGGCTTGGCTTGGGCTGTTACCAGTATCTATAAAAAACAAAACAGATGCTGGAGGAGGCAGAGGGCCATTGGAGACAGAAGTTAGTGCTCTGCCAGATGTGGTTGGTGGTCTGTTTTGGTAGCTGGAATGGTGGGAGACAGGGTCAAGTCCATTTTCTTATTTAGGAAAAGATCCATGGTCTCAGCAAGAAGGCTAAGGTTTGGAGCAGGACTCCAAGCCTATCAGGGGCCCAAATAGCCAGACAGCAAACAAAAGAGGCTACCATTCATGGGACCAGCTAAGGCCAGAAGGGACAGGCAGAAACTCAGGGGGACTCTCTCAGGAGAGAGTGAAACCTGTCCTATGGCAATAAGAATATTCCAGATCTCATCCCCTGGTGAGCCAAGGTTACTAATATATTGCTTCCCCCTGGTCAGAATTGGCTCAGACACTAGGCCAATGCATGAAAGTTGTCACTGACTCCACCTCCAAGTCACTTTCATTTTCCCACTCACCTCCACTTTCTAGTGATTCCATTTTATTATTGGATTCCTACCCTGTGCCAGGCATTGAGAAACCAGGATGTAGGGACACAAATGTCCCTAAGATTCAGAATTTGCCTGCTAGTGGTCCTCAGTCTAGTGGGATTGTGTAAGTGACCCACCTGGGTTCTGGCCCCTTCTTAATCCTTTGGTCTGCCCTTATTTTCCAAGACACTGCGAGATGTTGGAGGGAGCATCCTACGTTGCTGTGGAGACTTCCTCATCTCATCCCCCACCTGGCTCTCCCCAGACCATCACCCCTGAGGGCAGGACTGGGAGGGGGAAGGGGACACTGCTGGTCCAAATCCTCTTGGTGTCCTCTCTGTTATCCACACCACAGAGCTGCTGCATGCCTGTCTCCTGCTCCCGAGCCCCTGCAGGGGACCCATGGACTCTGTTATCCACACCACAGGGTTGCTGCATGCCTGTCTCCTGCTCCCGAGCCCCTGCAGGGGACCCATGGACTCACAGAAGTGTGACAGGAGCTGGCATGCCCATTCTTAGAAGGACCAGAGTCAGATACTCTTTGTATAGGTGGCCTCAGTCTCCAGAGGGAGGTTTGCTGAGGTGGAAAGGGTGTATCGAGAGTGGCAAAGGAACACACACAAGGAAAGTATCTCTTCTAGGTGGCACTTGCAAAAATGCATCAGCACAAAAGTCATTTCAGGGAGATGCTTGAAAATGATGGGAAAGATAAAGAGTGAAGAGAAGGAAACTCCAGTACAGAGGAAGCTGGGTGGGAGGAAGAAAAGGGAACTGCCGAGAACACAACTGGGCCCTTATAAGATATTTTAAATAGAGACCGCTCCCTCATGCACTGAGCTATTTAAAGACGAATGCATTTGGGGATGATGTTTTGCAGTGTGAGGGAGAGCACTGCAGGCGCATGGGTGCAGTCCTGCCTTGCTTGTCCGCCCACGTTCCTATCCCTGCGTCCATCACATGTCCCAGGTCTGACCTGCATCCTTCTCCAGCAGCCACCTCACTGCTCTCTTTGCGCCATGTTCTTCTCCTACAATGCCAGAGCTGTTTTCTCAGAATGAAGATGCAGTACCTGTTCAAGGCGACCTTGAATGCTCCCTGGAATTCAAGGTCCTGCGAAACCTACCTCCATTCTGCTTTCTGCTCTTGCTCTGTTGACACTAGACTTGCTGTTGCTTGGACCTTTCCTTTTCCTGTCCTTCACCAGAATTAACTACTCCAGCAGCATGGCTTTGCTCTCCAGAAGAAGGAGAGAAAATTCCAAATGCATTGGAATTGTTTGCATGCATATCTCTGCTTCTGGGCTACAGGCTCTTGGAATCTACAGATACTAATATTATGATAATAATATGAAACATTTACCAAGCAATTATTATATAACTTTGTACCGAAAAGTTTGTTTAATCCTTAAAGGTAAGGAATGGGATTAGTCTTATTTCACAGAAAAGGAACCTGTGGAAGTGTCACCCGGTGCACAAGCAGAGCCAGCTAGGGGCTCAGGCAGCTTGACTTCAGTGCCATTCTTGACCTGAAGCTGTCACTGGGTCTTTGGAATTGCTAATGCACATAGAAGGTCTCCACTCATATAAGTGGTCCTGGCCAATGTTTGCAGATTGAAACAAAGGCTGGAAGCAGGGCAAACCACTCCAGAAAGATGATCTGATTGGAATATGGCAAGAATGAAGCTTTAGGAGGAGAGAAGGGCACTGGTGTGCTTCCTTGTCCCCTCTTGGCTGGCTCACTGTCCTTGGGAGAGGTTGCCTCCAGTAGTGTTGCCCCAGGGGCTGCTGGGGAGGTCCTCCCACCTTCCAAAAATACTTCCTTCAGCTGCTTGATGGTGCCTGAAATTGTACTATTACAGCCTAATTCCTATAGCTTAGGCTGCTATTCCCCTGTTCAAATGCAAATACTCCTGGGAGAGGCAAGTTATTAAACTTTATTAGTCTTTTATATCTCATGGTGAATTTATTGATCAGAGCCTTCCCCTTAGAAATGGCTGGGATAAGGGAGAAAGACGGAGATCACATAAATGCCCTGGGCTCCAGGGAGTGAGGTCACTTGGAAGGCTGGAAGTGGAGGAGCAGGGGTTTAAGGAAGAAGGATAAGAGCTTGGAAACCTGGAAAGCTAACATATCCCATGATGGGTTCTACAGTGTAGGGCCATAACTGACCAGTAGCATGTGATTTTGAGTGGACTGGCTTTTGACCCTGACCCTTTGACTTTGAGGTAGCAGTAAACTCCAGGAAACTTGGAGTTGCAATTGAAAAATATTCATCAAAGCTGTAGCATGATCTTTCCTCTCTTCTCCCCAAATTTCTTTTGGTCATCATTCATTCAACAATTATTTATTGTCTACTGTGTATTAGACACAAACCCCGGCCTTGGAAAGACAACGTTCTTGGGTCATGATGGAGCTCTAAGTCACTAGAGCAGCCTTCCTGGCCTCTGCCTTGTGCAAGCAAGGGTGCAGCCTGGCAGGCAGCCCCATGACCACCATCCACAGAGTTTTTGTACGTGTCCATGGACACACTGAGTCCTTCCAGCGCAGTGTCCCTGGAAACTTGTCCACCCATTCCAGGAACACTGGAGAGCCCTGAGAAGCCCTTCTTGGTGTGTGTTCTGCTTGCTTTTTGCATTTCTCCCACGTCTTTGGCCTGAAGCTGACAGCCTGGTTTCATTCCCTACCCTGCTGCAGACACACCTCTGACACCTTCCCTTTGCCATCCACCCACTGCCTGGACCACAGCGAGTGACAGATTCAGAGAGAGAGAGATCCTTTTTTAAGGACAAGTCAGGGTTTCAGGAACAATATTACTTTATGTGTTTTCAAACATGTTGTTCTGCCTTCAGATTTATGGGATGGCCTTTATTACTTCAAATAAAATATTTAAAACAAAAATAGGAAAAGAAACCTGAGGCTTTTTGGCCTCTCTTCCTCTGGAGCCAGCCCACGCAGAAATACTCACTGACCTTCACAGATCTCCTCCCCTTAGAGACCCCAGTGGCCTTCGTTGCTGCATGATTCTGGTTTCAAGAATTAGGTAAGGCTGTACCCGGGCCTGTGTCTTTATTCAGTAAATGGTTTTTGTCTACCTGATAGCAAAAATGCTTAGACTCCACGACA